GGCCCGAGCCGGGGGGGGGGGGATTTGGGAAGGGGCATTTACTGCATCTGACGGTCATCGGCCGACGCGATTCTATAATGCAACGCCACGACGCGCATGCACGGATCGTTATAAATGACGATTAGTTCCGACTGCTACTGAGAATTACCAGACAGCGTCGCATCATCTGGCGCTCACAGGGAGCGGAGATGGATTCTTGGGTAGATGGTCCTACGACCATCGTATGACACAGTGTGCCTGGCCGTACGTGTACTACTATTAAGACTAATCACAGGTATAGAAGTACTTCATTGCATTAACTTTGATGATTTTGATACTGTTTTTTAAAAATGATGTATAACCATTTTCAGTTTATGATTTTCATGAATTCTATTCAGTATAAATTATATTCTTAGTCTCTATTTTAAGTACTGTGGTACATACCCACTACAGGTAATAAAGAATAAATTACAAATTTAAAAGTACAATACTTCATGCATTGCATTGATGATTGAAAATATTAAATTTTTGTGATTTATCTATTTCACTCTATTTTACCAGAGTATTTTTGTGATGATTTTTATACTATTTTAGGACCTTTTGTTTTGCAAGGAAGATAAAGAGGGAAAGTGAGTACAAATTAATACATTGCATACTTTATTTGCATACATAATTTATGATAATTATGATCATCATGGTAATGGTAGGATAAATGTAGAGCCCATATATAGTGATGATGTAGCTATATATGATCATGATGTGATGTCATCATTGCCATATTCAAACATGTCACTTTTCGACAGGGCTTAAGCAGATTTGCGAACATACAATCAGCCAAAGTTTGATCAGACATTGTCAGACAAATGTTGATTATTACAAAATGGTACCCATGTTGACCCTGTAAATTTCAAATTAAAAAGTGACAAGTCATCATGTCATAACCATCATCATCATCATCAACACCACCACCATCATCATCATCATTTTTCATCATTATCATCATCATCATCATCATCATCATCATCATCATAAATAATAATTATTATTCTAATCATAAATATAATGATTAAAATTTATCATAATTTATTTTAGCAGTGTTTGGGACCTCATGCTCCCATCATCAAAACATGTTATCCATTTTATTTATTTATGAAACTTTTACCTTTGTGATAATCACATCATAACTCCTACATTTTAATCTTTAATTTTGAAATTTTATATTTTAAAATTAATAAGTTCTTTTTTTATATGCCAGGATTGAGCAGATCATGATTGGTCCAATTACCTACGGTCAGACAATTTCATCATATGTTGCATTCAGCAAAGAGTTAATTATGGAATCGGATATCTTAGGGGTATGTTATTCGCAAAGCAAATGCTTCTATTTATCATTCTTTATGTCTATTCATATATTTTATTCAGTTGTTTTAACATTAATTAATACATGGTTTATTCTTTGTATTGTTTCTAAGCCCGTCCCCAAAAATGGGGGTCTTATAATATTAGAGGAATGGTAATCTAATTGTTTAAGTGTATTACTTCAACACTGTCAAAAGGTAGATTAAGCCTGCAAAAACCAAAATAAACTTGATTTGGTTGTTAATATAATTTAATTGTTTCCATGTTCTCATCCGGAACATATAATCCAAATTTCAATTTTAAAATTGGATCAAATTTTGGAATTGCATTACAAATTGCACTCTCTGCCTGTGAATATTAATTTCTTGTATTGGTAATGTGTGAGTGTCACATATACTTGAGATGGTTTTCATGTTGTAAAAACCTAATTAATATTTTACTAGTATTGCAAACATCATTCTAGAGAAACTTACAGTTACTTAATACAGAACATGCCATCACATACATCAATGTTATATACAGTATATCTGATATCCTAGTATGTAACATGAATATAAATTGGGGTGTTTGAGCACAAAACGTAAAATTCAATACCTGTTCTGACCAACATCTGCCTATCATCTGTGGCCTATTTACATAGGTTTAGTAAAAAATTGAGCCTAATAACATAATTTTTTTTGAAAGATGACTTCATCTAAACGTCCATATAAATTATGCATGCTAACGGCGTTATTATTTGTAAAATAGTCACTGCACACTTTGTACAAATGAGTAAATTTCAGGTCTCCAGGGGCCAAGCTAAAATTTCTAATTTCAATTTAAAAAGGATAAATGTTTATGTATGGACCACAATGGAAATAAGTTGCCAATTTTGGTATTTTTTGTGTTTTTAACCTTTGAATATGATGTTTCTTGTCTTTGTTTTATGTTCATATTCAGAATATAAAAATATAAAAAAATAAAATGAAAAATAAAAGAATTATTATTAAAAAAAGTAATTGATTAATAAATGGGTTGGTGCTAAATAGTAGATGTGCAATGTGAGATGTAGCTTAATGGCTAAGGTGTCAGTTTTCAGGTCCTGTGTTCAGTACTATAAGCAAAGAATTGTGCATCACCAATTGTCACTGCTGTCTGGGAGGTCTTGCTTCTTGTATATGTGTATGGCATTTTTATGTGCATGTAAACATGTGTATGTGACTGCTTTAAATGTGGATGTTCTGAATAATAGTGAGATGAATGAATGAATAAAATGTACCATGGCCAAGAGCCGGCTGTTCACACAGGCTGCGTTCATGCAGTACATGGTAACTTAACAGTTTAGGCAGGATCGAGATTACAAACATCTGTCCTCACATGTGTGTTCATACAAGACAATCTGTGATCCAGATATCAAGAAAGATGACGGTGGGATCACCATTAGGTGTACATATATAGTTATAAACATTATATAGTTATAAAGAGCTTACTACACCTCCATGAGTAGTGCAACTGGACTAGCTTTGCCTCACTGAGGATATAATTGACAGTTTAATGGGTCGTTAACCTTGATACACTAATTGGCAAACACCCAACTACGACTAGTTGGGTTAAAATGTGCTTTATTTACTAAGGGGACATGTACACATCATGACTGTGCCAATAGGAAACTGGAAATTGGAATACGTATGTGTGACTGGTTAATGATAAGAGACTAAACTTGCTAACTGATAGCACCCGATATAAGCCGTTAGCGTTTCCGGATCCTTGGTAATGGTTGTGCTAACAATCTGGCGTTCTGACACGGGTGCTAACGGTTAGCCCCAGTGGTCGTCTCCTGATCCGGATACTAGGGCTCTCGTGTGAACCTGACCACAATAAACTCCACTTTACAGTACATTGCATAGCTTTATAAATATTTTTCACAACTATGAAGTTTTATCATGCAAAAAATATATATGGTTTTCCCATACAGTAATCCATGGGTGTAATTTATTTACAAAAAAAAAATTGATATTGTGGACATTAGAGAGCATGTAAAATATATTTTTAATAATATTTTTTATTTAATTTTATCAGGATGAACGCTTTCCTATGGGTACTGGCATTGATAACGGTCAAGCCAACTCTCTTCTTGTTTTACCAATTTTGCTACCTAATGGAGATATACTTGGTAAATTTTAGGAATTTTTTTTTTCTGCAATTTTAATGTAAATTTCCTATTATGTTTAATATGTTTCATGCTTTTTGATGTTATTGAGGTTAAACATAATTTGTAATTCATTAATTTAATGGTTTTGAAGCAATAAATACAACTATATAATTATTATAATAATTACTATAGTAATCATTTATAATTCTGTAATTTTCTAGTTTATGTTAACAAATTTTTCTGCAATTTTAATGTAAATTTTCTATTATGTTTAATATGTTTCATGCTTTTGGATGTTATTGATGTTACGAAAACGTAATTCGTAATTCATTAGTGTAATGGTTTTGAAGCAATAAGTACAGTTATATAATTATAATAATTACTATAGTAATCTTTTATAATTCTGTATTTTTCTAGTGTTTATTAGGAAATTTTTCTGCAATTTTAATGTGAATTTCCTATTATGTTTAATATGTTTCATGCTTTTTGATGTTATTGATGTTTAATTTAATTCGTAATTCAGCCTTTTTGGCTGCCATGTTTTATGTTTTTATGAATTTTTGAATAAAATACCGTTATATATAGAAATAGTTAATTACTCCTTTTCATGTGTGCTTTGTCTATAGTAATGTTCAAGTTGATTATGATCTTTTGTGTGTTTGTTAATTTATTGAGCATGGCCATACATTGTTTGTTTTGTTTATTCAAATTTTCCACACAACATAACACAATTTTAAATTTAAGTGCTGTGTTTATTCTAATAATATGATATGAATACTTGTAATTATCATGTAAATGTAGGTTATAATAAAATGATAAGTTTAAATCAGAGTGGGGAAATAAATTTATGCTGATTGGTCAGGATGTTCAGAAGGATGAATAATTATGGTGAGCCTACATATTTCAGCCAATCAAATGGCTGTGATGATATTTTCAGTGAGTCATTGATATGCGTATCTTTCAGGTGTTATAGAGCTTTCTCGTAATGAGAAGAGCAAGCCATTTAATGAAGAAAATAAACAGGTAATTTTATCATAAAATCATCAATTTAGCACAGAAAAGCATTTTCTCCTGCCTCCACATTGTCTGTAGAAACTATTAGTGATAACAAATATAAAGACATTAAAAATGGAGAAAGTAAGGTAATGAAAAGAATTGTTCTAATTTTTTTCTTAATATAAACCAGTTTTAAATATCACTAATTTGCATTATAATAAATAGTGAAGATGAATAAAATATCATCATTAGGACTAGATGATACTGTATTTTTTGTTTTGTTTTACCTAGCAAATGTATTATTCAAATTGCTTTCATTACTAGTTTTTATAATTAATATAAATACCGTATGTCTTACATAATATCATATTCCATTTTTTAACTTATTAAAATTGTAATATAGTAATGGTCTTTTCATAACAAATTCTTTAAATATGATTAATACATTTAATTTATTATTATTTCTCTATTATTTTAAATTGTTGGTAATATATTTCCATCTTTTAATATTATTGCCGGTCTTATAATCATCAACAATTCTTGATAAATAATGTTGTCGTAATGTTGTCTAATGTTATTTATTTTATAAATCATAATAAGTGTTAAAGTGGATATTGGCATAATGGAACTTGACATATTTTATTTTTTTTTATAATTGTTTCTTATTTTCCTCATTATTAAGTAATGATGGAAGAAAAGCATAATAACTTATTATAATAGTTAATTATAAATAATATTAATTATAATATTTGATAATTTACTTTCCAATAGGTGGCATGCATGTACCTCACATGGGTTGGTATTGCTATTCATAAAATTCAGGTAAATTTTTTATAGTTATTCTATTCATTTATATTCACGAGCCAAGGATTGTGTATAGCAATTATTATCACTGCCTTTTATAATTGGCAATCCCTTGCATAAGACAAATATATAAACAAGATGCTCTACATATTAAATTAAATCACATCTAGTGATTCAGTTGTCTTGCTCATGAGAACACTGACAGTAATGAGTGACTATGTTAACTACATGAATGACTATGTTAACTACATGAATGACTATGTTAATCACATGATTGACTATGTTAATGACATGATTGACTATGTTTAGTGCATGGTTGACTATGTCGATCACATGATTGACTATGTTAATCACATGCTTGACTATGTTAATCACATGATTTACTCTGTTAATCACATGATTTATAATGTTAAAAAAGTGTCATTAAACCAACAATACAGCTCCAGTCTCAATAATGATAAAGAAATGTCTCCTGCCCCACCCCCCCAGTTGACCACCTACTTGATATGATGATTAGATTTAATCATATTATTGACTATGTTAATCATGTGATTGACTATGTTAATCACTTGATTGACTATGTTAAGCACATGATTGACTAGCAGTGGCGTATCTAGTGGGTGCGTGGGGTGGGGGGGGGAGCACACCCCAAAAAGTTACGGTCAAGTAATTAAAAATCGCCTAAAATCACCTTATTTTGCGAATTAGCACCCCTCAACTGTTCATTGAGCCCCCCACTTCCCCTTTGCACACCCCCTCCCCCATTAGCACCCCATTTCAAGACTTCTAGGTACCTCACTGTTGACTAGGTTAATCTCATGATTGCTATGTTAATCTATGAGTGGCTATGTTCAGGTTTAGTCTGATCATGTGTTGATCATGTTCATTATGATCTAGTAATAATAATGGTTGTAATCATTTTTTAGCATTAGGCTCATATTTGTTGTGATCCTTTTCTCAAAGTGATCTAAAAACTAGAGGTGAGCACCTTCTTCCTCCCCTTTGTATTCGCGTCTGTGCAGCATTAATTTATTTTTTAGTTTCTTTGTGGCTAAAAGCGCCTTGAGACGGTTTCTACTGTGGAAGACGCTATAAGTATGTGACCATTGACCATTTTCAATAATGTAATGTTAGCATAATATCGTTTAATATGATCAATTTTTTGAGCGATCATGTTTTTTTTTGTTTTTTTTTTTACCATATAGAGGGTGACCCAGCATATCATAGAAGGTCGGCTGTTATTCAGGGGCCCTCTTTAAATAAATGAAATAATGTGCTTTTATCAGCGAAGTCTCTTCGATTTTATTCATATTAGTTGAATATTACACAATGATTAAGCTCATTAAATTGTCAGTAATGAGATTATGCTCAATTAAAATAAGAGAAAACTTAAATGTCGATTTTCTTTTTCATAAATATTGATAAGGATTTTTAAAAATCAAGATAGCTTCAGCTGCTTGGTAATAGAAACTGAAAAATAACTGCCTTTAGGCTGAAATTGATATTGCAAGCACTTTATCAAAAGGTGCAACTTAAATACGAGGCAATAAGCGACAAATTGACAATAAATCCTCCCCCATTATTCTAGCCATTAGGTATGAATATGTAGCATATTTATACTCGTTTGTATGAAAACCTATACAGCAAACAATTTGCACAGATAAGATGTACATTATATACCCAATCAAGTCTTATTCTGCAATTTATATTTGCCCAGTTGCTATGTTGTGTATGATCTCAAAATTCTTACAAGTAAACAAGTACAGAATGAGTCATAAAATAACAATTATAGAGAATTTCAGTATAACCCTTTAAGCATTTCTTCTTGTTTTCGAAGGGTTCCTTTTAAATAATTAAGAAACACGTCTATAATGACAAATTACAAAAATAGAAAGGCCAAGGCCAAAAACCTAAAAGTAAGGAACAGAGTAAAATAGTATACAAATACTGAATAATTTAAACAATAATCTTTAAATGAGAAACATTAAAGAACTAATAATATTATGGGTGTACAAAGATAAAGTTAAATGTATAAATCATATTAATGTGACATTTACAAGGTGATTTTCCCCTATTTTCTTTAAAATTTACAAAAAACAAAATAGAAACAAAAACAAAAAAAAAAACAAAAAAAAACAATAAAATAAATATATAATGCACAATATGGACTATTAGGCAATTAGCAGAGCTGCACATACAGTAGTACACTAGCGGAAAATTATTATACGAAGGTTAGATTTAATGCTAAAAAAAAATTGTTGAATGCATATATTATTTCTAACCTAAGTATAATAATTATTTTCCCCTAGTGTATAATGTATGTACCTATACTAATTGCTTTATCAATCCCTGTCTTTTAATGTTAGTTTTGATAATCAACCTTTCCTTGTTAAGTCTTTAAAATAGGTCTAGAATATTCCTATGTTCGGTTTCTGTAGTTTATTGTGGTCCATTGATTCAAGGAATTCTTTAATTTTTCATACTTAATATTGAATTTGAAGTAACTTTCTTTGGGTTTATATATAAACAACCTTGTTTTACGAAAGTAATTTTTCGATTACCACTAGTCGACGAATGACATTTGGGTGTCTCCCTCTCTTTCCGCAGGCATGCTTCGTAGTCCTAGTGTAAAAACACTAGCATGGAATTCATTGCGGTGTGCGATATGTACAAGTTGTATTAGTCTTTTGCACACAGACCAAATAAAGATCAAGCCAATTAAGTGTGCAATGAAAATATTCCACAACTAGGAGTTGCCGTGATGACGTCTCGATTGGCTTATGAATGTTTCAAATCATTTTCTGTACTCATAAACTCTTGGGTGTAGTGAGGCAATTAAATGTTGACAAGCACTTCGTAAGCTTTACCCCATTGACTCACACCCTATGTTTCTGCTCTCTTATACCCCATTCAGACTAGCATCGCATTGCGATCGGTTGTAGCAATTGCGACACCCAATCGCAAAGTAAAATCGTGTGTGAAAGCTCACCAATTGTAGGCGATATGTAAACGATATCGCAATTGTCACCCGTTGCAATTGGGTGCTACAATCTTTATTACTCCCAATTAACACGGAATGTGATTGCAACGAATCACAATGAATTCCACAGGCACTGTTTGGCTGAGGTCATGCAACATGGGCCTAGACACCGGAAGCCTAGGTCCTAGAATGTAAAGTTTATGTTGGTCTGAATGCGTTCGTTGATTGCGATCGGGAGTAATCAGTTTTGGATTACCACCGATTACATCGCAACCGATCGCAAGAGAGTGTAGTCTGAA